AGAATAGTGCACACTGAGTATTCTCTAGCATAGGTCATATGTTAGGCCACAAAATAAGAGTGAAGCATTTTAAGAGGACTGAATCATATTAGGTATCTTTTCTGATCAAAATGGCATGAAACTAGAAAGCAGTAACAAGAGAAATTGTGGAAAATCACAAATATACTCCTAAACAACTAATGGGTAAAAGAAATCAGAAAGGAAATCACAAAATACCTTCAGACAAATGAAAATGAAAGCACAACATATCAAAACTTATAGCATGTGGCAAAACCATTTCAAAGAGGGAAGTTTATGCCTATTGTTTCAAACAATCAAATATCATACCTCAAGGACCTAAACTCAAAATTAGCAGAAAGAAGGAAATAATAAAGGTCAGAGCAGCAATAAATGAAATAGACACTAGAAAAACAGGAGGGAAAAAAATCAATAAAAGAGTTGATTTTTTGAAAAAATAAAATTGACAAAACATTAGCTAGACTAAGAAAAAGACTCAAATAAATAAAATCAGAAATGGAAGAAACATTACAACTGGTAACAAAAATACAAAGGGTCATAAGAAACTACTATGAACAATTATACCCAACAAATTGATCAACCTAGAAGAAATAAATAAATTCCTAGGCACATACAACAGACCAAGACTGACTCATGAAGAAATAGAAAATCTGAATAGACCAATAATGAGCAAGCAGATTGAATCAGTAATAAATCTCTTCCACAAAATAAAAGCCTAGCACCACATGGCTCTGCAGCAGAATTCTATTAAACACTTAAAGAAGACCTAATACCAATCCTTCTCAAACTCTTCCAAAAAATTGAAGTGGAGGGAATATTTACAAACTCATTTTATAAGGCCAGCATTACCCTGATACCAAAGCCAGAAAGGGATACTAGAAGAAAAAAAAAATTACAGAAAAATATCCCTGATGAACATAGATGCAAAAATCCTCAGCAAAATACTAGCAAACCAAATTCACCATGATCAAGTGGGATTTATCCCTGGGATGCAAGGATGGTTCAACATATGTAAATCAATAAATGTGATATACCACATTAACTGACAAAGGATAAAAAACATATGATCATCTCAATAGATGTATAAAAAGCATGTGACAAAATGCAACACCCTTTCATGATAAAAACCCTCAACAGATTAGGTATAGAAAGAATGTACTTCAATACAATAAAGGCCATATATAATAAGCCCACAGCTAACATAATCTTCAACAGTGAAAAGTTCAAACCTTTTTCTGTAATATTAGGGACAGACAAGGATGCCCACTCTCACCACTTCTTTTCTACAAAGTACTGGAAGTCCTAGCCAAAGCAATTAGGCAAGAGAAAGAAATAAAAGTTATTCTAGTAGGAAAAGAAGTAAAATTGTCTCTGTTGGTGGCATGATCTTATATATAGAAAACCCTATAAACTCCACCAAAAAATTGTTAGAAGTAACAAATGAATTCAGTAAAATTGCAGGATACAAAAATCAACATACAAAAATCAGCAACATTGCTAGTAGGGCCAAGGCCGTGGGTTTGGATCCTATATGGGGATGGCTGGTGCACTCACTGGTTGAGCGTGGTGCAGACCACACAGAGCCAGGGGTTGCGATCCCCTTACTGGTCAAAAAAAAAAAAAAAAAAAAAAAAAAAAAAAA